GAGAATTAAAAGGAATGTTTCATGCTTCCTTGTTACACAGCATTTGTTTTAGCTTTCCAAAGCTCTCCCCAAAACTAACTAAGGAAGATAAAACTACGGAAATCTAATAACTGTTGTGCACAGCTTTGCACTAAATTATCTGTATAGTAAGCCAAAAATAGTTTAAGATTATAATTAGCCCACCTGTTTCCCCCATTAACATGCAAATACATTTTTCTTGTTCAGAGACTGCACGAGAGTTTTCCCAGGCCTTGCAAAATATCACACATCCACATAAAGGGACCAGCAACTCCTCTGTGAAGGAGGGCAGAGTTTGGCTTCTCTCTGCTATTTAAAGGCTGCAGCAGGGAGAATCCCAACTTTTTCCCTCTCCCTCCATTCACAAAGGAACTGTGATTCCCTTTATGCTCCCCTGGCCTCCTCCCTCCAGGGGGGACCCACCTGAAAGGAAAAGGCAGGCTGCTACAGCTTCACTGAGAAGACATTTCTGAGAAGAGAAACTTCTCCGGTCCAGCTGCACCTGAGCTGGTGGAGCGCCCGTGCGATTGGAGCAACCGCATGGCTCACCTGCACTGGCTGTCTCCCTGATGACAGATGGGCGGTTGCAGGCACTCCACCAGCTTGGGTGCAGTGGACTGGAGAAGTTTGCGTGGCACTGGCAGGCAGTTCTAGGACACCTGCCCGCCAGTAAGGGACCTCCCTGGACAGCGTTTTTCTGAGCACGGGGAGACAGATGGCACAAACTCCTGCCTGTCTCCCCGTGCTCAGAAAAGCGATTCTGTTTAAGTCCTTTGCTGGCAGGCAGGTTCTAGGATGCCTACCCACCAGTAAGGGACCTCCATGCACAGCGCTTTTCGGAGCACGGGGAGACGGATGGAGCAGGCATTCCAGAACTTCTGGGTCTACCAATGGAACCTCCTCTCACCGGATCGGTAAATTTCACCATCCGGTTCTCCCAATCCGGTGCGAACCGGCAGAAGCCCACCACTGCCCTCAACCATTACTGATGGTAAAATAAGTAATAGTGCAAAGACTTTTAAAATGTATTGTTATTAAATTGGATATAATGCTTGCTTAAAATAAAATTTGCTGTGCTCCAGTTGAGGCGTATGTGAATTTTGCTATATTCACTTAGTAATTTTATATCAAGAATTGTTGATATAAGATCTATCATTACCTGATGCTGATCATACGTAATTAATAACAATTTTACCATTTAAGGATCAGGTTAAGAATTGATAACCAAATTAACCAAAGTTTTTGTGCATTAATTGAGCAGCAGTAGACATTTATTAAATAAACAAGTACTATACTTCACAGAGATTACTTTGTTGATTGATTGGGTTTTCTGAAGTTTGGAGGTCCTTTATTATCTAGTTAAAATTTAAGTTTAAGGTATTACGAATTGGAACTGGGATTTCATATATCCAAAATTTTAATTCTTATGAACTATTGCATATATTAGCACTTTCTTTCTTCAGGAAAGCCTGTATCTAACAAATATTTTTAAAATTTCTAGGTTTTGTATTTTTTGTATTTTTGTAAAATACAGTGTTCAAGAATTAACTGGCTTACTAACTAACCAATGATAGTTTTCCTCCATAATTCAGAATTCTTGTTCATGCAGGGAAAAAAGATGAAGATGATTGTTTATTACTAAGCAGTCTGAAATTGTTATTTTTTGATGCTAGCAGCTTAAATCTTGAAGATGTCTGGGGACTTACAAGTATTGTAGGGCATGTTCTTATCACTGGATAAGAACTAACTTCTTTTATTTGTTAACTGAATTTATGATTTTATTACAGGACTGTCAAATGAGAAAATTACTCTTCCAGCTAGGGGAGGCATTTTTTGAGATTTTAATAATTAGTGCTGAAATGCTCAATAATACTTAAATGGAGGCCATTTAAAAATGTAATATCATCTTTTAAACCTAGGAAGAATTTATTATAGACTAGTTTTATTAATTATGGACGTATTAGATTCTAGGGTAATACTTTTAAATGCAGCTTAAAAATAGAATTCTGCAAAAGACATATCCTTCCTCCCCTTTTCTCTTTCTTCATCCAATTTGTTGCCGGTTCTTATCTTATGTGTAAATTAGCACTAATGTACTACTGTGTAGAAAGGTTCCTTGCAAGATGGTAATGCTGGTTATAAGACACTTGAAAGTGTTGTTATTACTGCCATAGGTCAGTATTGTCAGAAGCATTACTATATGAAATACTATATGTATGCATCAGTATAAGAAGTACTATATGACATAAAATTTAAAGTATAAAATACAAGGTTTAAATATGTGCAAATTAAACAGATCTTGGCCAGAAATTAGCAACATTAATTGTGTTCTGTTGTGTTGCCATGAGGTCCTAAAGTGTACACTGATCAGGGCACAAAAGACAGATTTACATATGTGTTGTTGTCTGCATGTCACCACAACGCAAAGAGATAACTCCACTTCTTCAGAGTGGCTCTTGCTGCATCTGTGCACAGTCTGTTCATTGATTTTCATACTTCTCAACTTTTGTCAGACCCAGGTGCCAGCTCTTCTGTTGGTTCCATCCAGTGTTGTTTCCTTATAGTTTTCCATAGAANTTATTTAGCAGTAATTTTGGTTTACAACTTTATTGTTGGAACAGAACTTATTGCTAAGTGAAGATTGAGTGTAGTATAATGGATTTGTGACTCCAATTCGAGGAAGATGTGGCAGTCTTAGCTAGGAGTTGTGGCCTTTCCTAGATCAGGATTCCCTGTGCTCAGTTTGTTCAGTCCCTAGTCCTCTCGTGGCTGGACTTTTGTAATATGCTCTACAGTGGGCTACCCTTAAAGAGCATTCAGAAGCTACCGCTGGTACAGAGTGTGGCAGTATGGACAGTTTTGGGCCTCCTAAGAATGATTCTTGTAACACTACTGTTCCATGAGCTACATTGGTTACCAATCTGTTTCTGGGTGCAATTCAAGGTGTTGGTGATCACCTTTAAAGCACTTCATGGAATGGGTGTAGGTTACTCGAGAGACCATCTCTTCCCACTGGGATTGGCTCATACCACTTGTGCCAGCAGAGGAAGTATGTTGCAGGAGCCGAGGTGGTGCAGTGGTTAGGGTGCAGTACTGCAGGCCAGTTCAGCTGACTGTTATCTGCAGTTCAGTGGTTCTAACTTACTGGATCAAGGTTGACTCAGCCTTCCATCCTTCCAAGGTGGGTGAAATGAAGACCCAGACTGCGGGGGTGATATGCTGACTCTGTAAACCGCTTAGAGAGAGCTGAAAGCCCTATGAAGCGGTAAATAAGTTAACTGCTATTGCTATTGCTATTCCAACTGGCGGGGTCCAGGAGAAGGACCTTCCCTGCTTTTGCTTCTGTCCTCTGGAACATCTTGCCCCCTGATGTGAAATTTCCCCCAATCCGACTGCCTTTTTGTAAGGGCCCTAAAGGCACTGCCAATTGGCTTGGAGCCCCAGTGGGGGAACATATATTAGAAGATATTATATAGAACATTTTTGTTCAACTTTTTTGCTTGCCTGGACCAAAATGCATTGAATGATGAGGAATTGTCTTAGGCCACATATAAAACATATAGTATTGTTAATGTATATAAAATTACATAATAATATTACACGTTTACAATCTTGTGGGGCAGCCTTATTAGCTATACAGAACTTCATGTGACCTGTGGACATACCTGCTGTAGAATATCTTGAGAGATTACTCTAGCAAATTACTGAGCCCTGATAGTATCTGTCAAAAAGTTCTTAAAGGCACCCAAATAAGAAATTGCTTGATCTAACAAAAAAATATGAAATTTGTGAAAAATTCAGTGAAAGATAATCACAGTTAGTAATGTGTTTTTCTGTTTTTGTGCATTTGCTTAAATATTTCACAATTAAGCAAAGTAGCATGAAAGCATGTACTGGATATTATTGAATGTTAGCTTTCCAGGCATAATATCCCTGGGTAGTTAAAGTATCTGAGTTTCCTATTTATTTCTTTTTGTTGGATCAAATACTCACACATGTGACCCCAGGATTATAATGTGCATGTTGAATAGATTTGTCCTTTGAAATTCAACCCATTTCCATGAATTTTCATCTGTTAATTGTAATGGTAGCTGATGACACTTTCTGTTTTTCTGACTGTCATAGATATGCCCCCTGTATATGTATGTGTACTTTATTTTGTATTAAATAAAATTTAGTAAATAATGTGCAGGATTGTTGGCATGGATAGAAAAAGGCACATGTGGACAAGAAAGGGGGTAGATTAATTTGCTTTGATATATTAATAATATGCAAGAAATTCAATAAAGGAAATGACTGAAATTTTGCTTCAATTATTGTTCCCTATTTAAATTACACTGAATATTCCTCAAAATTCTTTCTTCTTCTTCTTCTGTGGTGCAGCTTTGTTGATGCCCAAGAAGTACTTGAATTTATACCATTGACAATTGGTGGCAAATTGCTGATTTTCAGTAAGAGTTTAAGAAGTGAAATAAGCCTCCGGACACTTGTATTAAACAACTTGAGGAATTAATATGTTTGTTTTGAGTTAATATAGTCCCTCAACTTTCCCAAAACAAAAGAGTGAAACATGTTTCATTTGCTTTTGTAATGTTATTGCAGTTCCCAGGGTAGCCCTTGTGAGTCTAAAAGAAAAGAATGTAGACCCAGTCAAACAAAAATTGGCCATTTTGCCCTGCTTGTATCTGTTGTAAGATAACATGAGAGTACGTTTGCTGTGTTAGATGTGTTAAGTAAGATAGTTACATGGCCAACTGCTTATTCTGATATTGCAGCATTTGCAGTCTCAGTTGTATTCTTCTAGTAGGATATATGTAATTATTACTGTATTATAAACGAAAAATACAGTAATATTAATTTTGAGCTTTCCCATTGTATTAAAGGCACTAAGAAAGGTTCAGCTGTTTTCCAAATTATTGTTGACCTTTTGTTTGCAGTATATATAACACTAAAAGTAATAGAGATAAATTTTTCTCTTGTAGGTGAAGCAGGCGACCAATCAGATAGTGATGAATTGTGCTGACATTGATATTATTACAGCTTCATATGCACCAGAAGGAGATGAAGGTAGGATGGGATATAAATGCAGTTTCTGCATTTTTAATCATCAGACATAATATTACTCTGATAATAATTTTAATTTGTAGAAAGTGTTTTCAGCTACATTTTGAATGCCAACTACATTTTGCTGCATTGTAGATATTAAAAATAAGACTATATAAACCTTTTAAATATATGATGATGTAAGAAGATAAAAATCTATTAATAAAAAGAAAATACAATTTCTTCCATTTTAAGGGATAAGAAGGAATTTACCATTTTTATCCTGTAATTTGTCAGTCCTTCAATCACTCAAGCTTTATTATACCTTGAGCTGTTTGGAACCAGGTCAAGGAAGTGGTAGGTGAGCACTTGTGCACATGCATCCCCACTTGCATGAGCAGTGGGCATATGAGCCTGTTACACGCACAAATGGAACTGCATATGTGCACTTGCCCGCCACTTGTGCAGAACCCTCCCCTCTACCCTCTGCCGGCCCGCAAAGCCAAAAAAGGAAACTATTATAAGTCATAGACCCACATTATATAAAAGAAAATGCATTATATATTACAAAGTACAAGGTGTCATTTATGTTAAATAAAGGGTATGTGATAGTTCTTTATCTAGTTCCTATCAGCAACATATAAATTCTACAGGCTACAAACATACATTTTGCAACAGCAAAGTTATCTTGCAATCTTTATCCATTAAAAAAACCTGCACATAGAATCTTTGTCCAACCTGGAAATAGCTAGTATTGGTAACTCATTGTGAGTAACCCAGTGAATATGACATTAATGCAGGACGTGATTTAGCACTCCTATCTTTACAAGGGCAAAATATGGGATTTTCAGCATATGGGATTTTGCAGTGCTTACCCTCAACCAGTGGTGGGTTTCAAATTTTTTTGGAACCTACTCGGTGGGTCTGGCCTGCTTTGTGGGAGTGGCTTGCCGGCCATGTGACCGGGTGGGAGTGACTTGCCGGCCATGTGACCAGGTGGGAGTGGCCAATATGATGTCAGC